GGGACGCATGTGGGCGCCGCCACTGGGGCCTTCGGTGGAGCTCCCTATGGGGCCACGAAACGTGTGAGGGGTGTGCCGAATGGGTGTGCGTGACGCATGCGGGCGGCAGCACTGGGGCCTTCGGTGGAGCTCCCTATGGGGCCACGAAACGTGTGAGGGGTATGCCGAATTGGGTGTGCGGGACGCATGCGGGCGGCAGCACTGGGGCCTTCGGTGGGGCTCCCTATGGGGCCACGAGGCGTGTGACGGGTGTGCCGAATTGAGTGTGCGGGACGCATGCGGGCGGCAGCACTGGGGCCTTCGGTGGGGCTCCCTATGGGGCCACGAAACGTGTGAGGGGTGTGCCGAATGGTGTGTGCGGGACGCATGCGGGCGGCAGCACTGGGGCCTTCGGTGGGGTTCCTTATGGGGCCACGAAGCGTGTGAGGGGTGTGCCGAATTGGGTGTGCGGGACGCATGCGGGCGGCAGCACTGGGGCCTTCGGTGGGGCTCCCTTATGGGGCCACGAAACGTGTGACGGGTGTGCCGAAGTGGGTGTGCGTGACGCATGCGGGCGGTAGCACTGGGGCCTTCGGTGGGGCTCCCTTATGGGGCCACGAAACGTGTGAGGTGTGTGCCGAATGGTGTGTGCGGGACGCATGCGGGCGGCAGCACTGGGGCCTTCGGTGGGGCTCCCTATGGGACCACGAAACGTGTGAGGGGTGTGCCGAATTGGGTGTGCGGGACGCATGCGGGCGGCAGCACTGAGGCCTTCGGTGGGGCTCCCTATGGGGCCACGAAACGTGCGAGGGGTGTGCCAAATTGGGTGTGCGGGACGCATGCGGGCGGCAGCACTGGGGCCTTCGGTGGGGCTCCCTTATGGGGCCACGAAACGTGTGAGGGGTGTCCCGAATTGGGTGTGCGGGACGCATGCGGGCGGTAGCACTGGGGCCTTCGGTGGGGCTCCTTTCTGGGGCCACGAAACGTGTGAGGGGTGTGCCGAAATGGAGGATGATGACGATGATGGTGGTGGGAGGAGGGAGGAGGAGGGCGGAGGGAGGAAGGAGACGCGGGGCACCGTCTCTTCAAAACGAAGACCCAACACCACAGGATGGTTGGGAAAAAACCGTCGAAAATCCCCCTGTAGGGGGACGCCCCCGACTTCATCCTAGATGTGGTCGATGCGGAGCCCGACTGCTTCACGTCGACGTCGACGAGGCATTGACGGTGCATAGCCAATGCGTCGCTGATGCATCGCCAATGTATCGGCGATGCGGCGCGGTCGTCCGACCCCATCTACTCCGACCCCATCTGGGAGGCCCCCAGATCGGGAGAGCAGAAATTAGCTTGGCGAAGAACCCAACCATATGCAGTTGTCAGTACCGCAGCTGCGGGTTTCATCTTCAGTGGAACTCACCATAGGACTACGGAACGTGTGAGGGGTGTGTCGAGATGGGTGCCACTGGGGCATTCGGCGAAGCTCCCTATGGTGACATGAAACACGCGCGGGTCGTGCCGACATAGGTGGCGGAAACGCATGTGAGGGCCGCCGCTGGGGCCTCCAGTGGAGCTCCCTATGGGTCCCCGAAACATGATGCTGCTGCGGGGGGGGGGCCGGGATGGATGGCGGAGACGCATGTAAGCGCCGCTATTGGGCCTTCGGTGGAGCTCCCTATGGGGCCACGAAGCGCGTGAGGGGTGTACTGGGATGTGTGGCGGCGACGCATGTGAGCGCCGCCACTGGGGCCTTCGGTGCAGCTCCTTATGGGGCCACGAAACGTGTGAGGGGTGTGCCGAATTGGGTGCGGGTGGTGACGCATGTGGGGCCTTCGGTGGAGCTCCCTATGGGGCCACGAAACCTGTTGTTGTTGTGAGGGGCGTGCCGGGATGGGTGGCGGGGACGCATGTGAGCGCGGCCGCTGGGGCTCTCGGTGGGGCTCCCTATGGGGCCACGAAACGTGTGAGGGGTGTGCCGAATTGGGTGGGTGTGGGTGACGCATGTGAGCGCCGCCACTGGGGCCTCCGCTGGATGATGGGGCCGCGAAACCTGTGAGGGATGTGCCGAAATGGGTGTGCGGGACGCATGCGCATGTGAGCGCCGCCGCTGGGGCCTTCGGTGGAGCTCCTTGTGGGGCCACGAAACGTGTGAGGGGTGTGCCGAATTGGGTGTGCGGGACGCATGTGGGCGCCGCCACTGGGGCCTTCGGTGGAGCTCCCTATGGGGCCACGAAACGTGTGAGGGGTGTGCCGAATTGGGCGTGCGGGACGCATGGGGGCGGCAGCACTGGGGCCTTCGGTGGAGCTTCCCATGGGGCCACGAAACGTGTGAGGGGTGTGCCGAAATGGGTGGGCGGGACGCATGTGGGCGCCGCCACTGGGGCCTTCGGTGGGGCTCCCTTTATGGGGCCACGAACGTGTAAGGGGTGTGCCGAAGTGGGTGTGCGGGACGCATGCGGGCGGCAGCATTGGGGCCTTCCGAAACGTGTGAGGGGTGTGCCGCATTTGGTGTGCGGGACGCATGCGGACGGCAGCACTGGGGCCTTCGGTGGGGCTCCCTGTGGGGCCACGAAACGTGTGAGGGGTGTGCCGAATTGGGCGTGCGGGACGCATGCGGGCGGCAGCACTGGGGCCTTCGGTGGGGCTCCCTTGTGGGGCCACGAAACGTGTGACGGGTGTGCCGAAGTGGGTGTGCGTGACGCATGCGGGCGGCAGCACTGGGGCCTTCGGTGGGGCTCCCTGTGGGGCCACGAAACGTGTGAGGGGTGTGCCGGATTGGGTGTGCGGGACGCATGCGGGCGGCAGCACTGGGGCCTTCGGTGGGGCTCTCTATTGGGCCACGAAACGTGTGAGGGGTGTGCCGAAGTGGGTGTGCGTGACGCATGCGGGCGGCAGCACTGGGGCCTTCGGTGGGGCTCCCTGTGGGGCCACGAAACGTGTGAGGGGTGTGCCGAAGTGGGGTGTGACGCTGCGGGCGGCAGCACTGGGGCCTTCGGTGGGGCTCCCTGGGGCCACGAACGTGTGAGGCTCGAATTGCGGTGGGGATCCCTATGGGGCCACGAAACGTGTGAGGGGTGTGCCGAATTGGGTGTGCTGACGCATGCGGGCGGCAGCACTGGGGCCTTCGGTGGGCTCCCTATGGGGCCACGAAACGTGTGAGGGGTGTGCCGAATTGGGTGTGCGGGACGCATGCGGGCGGCAGCACTGGGGCCTTCGGTGGGGCTCCTATGGGGCCACGAAACGTGTGAGGGGTGTGCCGAATTGGGTGTGCGGGACGCATGCGGGCGGCAGCACTGGGGCCTTCGGTGGGGCTCCCTATGGGGCCACGAAACGTGTGAGGGGTGTGCCGAATTGGGTGTGCGGGACGCATGCGGGCGGCAGCACTGGGGCCTTCGGTGGGGCTCCCTATGGGGCCACGAAACGTGTGAGGGGTGTGCCGAATTGGGTGTGCGGGACGCATGCGGGCGGCAGCACTGGGGCCTTCGGTGGGGCTCCCTATGGGGCCACGAAACGTGTGAGGGGTGTGCCGAATTGGGTGTGCGGGACGCATGCGGGCGGCAGCACTGGGGCCTTCGGCGGGGCTCCCTATGGGGCCACGAAACGTGTGAGGGGTGTGCCGAATTGGGTGTGGGGACGCATGCGGGCGGCAGCACTGGGGCCTTCGGTGGGGCTCCCTATGGGGCCACGAAACGTGTGAGGGGTGTGCCGAATTGGGTGTGCGGGACGCATGCGGGCGGCAGCACTGGGGCCTTCGGTGGGGCTCCCTATGGGGCCACGAAACGTGTGAGGGGTGTGCCGAATTGGGCGTGCGGGACGCATGCGGGCGGCAGCACTGGGGCCTTCGGTGGGGCTCCTTATGGGGCCACGAAACGTGTGAGGGGTGTGCCGAGTTGGGCGTGCGCGACGCATGCGGGCGGCAGCACTGGGGCCTTCGGTGGGGCTCCCTTATGGGGCCACGAAACGTGTGAGGGGTGTGCCGAAATGGAGGATGATGACGATGATGGTGGTGGGAGGAGGGAGGAGGGAGGAGGGCGGAGGGAGGAAGGAGACGCGGGGCACCGTCTCTTCAAAACGAGGACCCAACACCACAGGATGGTTGGGAAAAACACTCAGCACTAGTCCGAGGTCTGGCCTCTGGGTCATGGATACCGGCCTCTGGCGGCCGAGCGGGGCGATTCTGGCGCCCCTGGGAACGCTCTCGGCGAGGCACAGTCGGGGCTCAAGGGACGGGGGTCAGTGCAAACGGGGGTCAGCCAGAGCGCTGGATTTTGCAGGATCCTGCAGAGCCAGGGGACCCAGGTCAGGGCGCAGGATCTCTGCAAGGCCTGACTGACCCAGATTTGCACCGACCTGGGTCAGTGCGTTCCCGACACAGCCGCTGGAGTATCCCGAGGCGAGACGACTTCCAGGAGCCAACGCGAACGTCCGCAAACTTGTCACAATTGTCGACATCGCCGGTGCATTCGGCGGCGCGTGCTCCGGACCCGTACTCTGGCGGCCTCCCAGGTGTGATGGTCCGCAGGACGTGTGTTTACTCCGTTCCTTAGATGCTCGTTCGGAGGAACTTCATAGGGCCCACCTAACAGATCTGTTCGACTCTAGTTCGACCCCACTTCGGCTGAAGTTCGACTCAAGTTCGACTCAGGTTCGACTCAGGGTCGACTCAAACCGACGGACGTTCGACGCAGTTTCGACGCAAGAGTGGAGCGAGCGTCTCCAGGAAGGTCCCCAGAATGAGCATCCAACGTTCCACCCGACGGGTAGATCATTACATATCCTGAGTCGTATTGATTGTCGGGCGGGTGGCAATTGGAGGTGAACTACTGGAGGGTGAAGACAATGGCCCTAAAGGGGCCTTTCAGGGCCCCTTTTGGGGGCCCCCACTGGCGCCAAAAGGGGCCCCAAAGGGCCCATCTTTTCTTCACCCCCCCCATGCATGTCACCTCCCATGACCGCCCGCCCGAAAATGGGCCTCGGTGGACGAACGTTGGCGCGCCAGCACACGCTCCGAGGATCATCGACAGGTGGCGCTGGGCGGCGTCCTGGTCCTGCGCGGCAGAGCGGGGTCGCCCTGGGCGCCAACGCGTGCACGCCTTCGCCCCGGCCCTGGTCGGGCCGATCCTCGGCCGAGGATCGGCCCGAGAGGGCCCGAGGATGACCCCAGGACTCAGCTGCCTCGATGCGCCCGTTTTGAAACGCAACACGTCCCGTGTTCGAGACGTCCGTGTCCATACGTTGCGTGTGGGCTCCACGTAGTGGGCCACGTTCTGGCGAACGTATCGCGTCGGACCTACGTTTTCAGCCTACGTGCTGAGCTCCGTAGCAATGCGATACGTGTGGCGTGTTGCGTGTCGGGGCAGTTAAGCCCCAGGAGGGTTCAGAGGTGGCCATGAGATATCGACATTTGCGTGTAAGATCCCCCTCGGCCGCCCTGTCCGTCTTGTCCCCTCTCCCTGCACGCTGGCCGATTCGCTTCTCGGTGTTCCCGTTTCATGCTACACATGATTGCACCAGCGCTTACGGTACGCCTTGCCAAACGGGCAGATGAAAACTTGGGCTGTCACACTCTCGTTGGTCTGACCTGGCATGGTCTGAGGGGCCACTCAAATCGTCGTGTGCGCAAGCGTGGTGCGATCTGCCATCGCAGTCGCAGGTTGACCCTTTCAACACAAATAACAGGCAGAAATCATCATCACGATCATGTATAGCACCACCGCTGAAACCGTCCGGGGGAACTCACTCCTGCACTCGCTCGTCGAAATCTCCATCGTAGACGCCCGAGTTGGCTGCAACAATGAAGCCGCAATCAGAGCTTTGCCAACTGCACTCTTAACATCAACCGTGGCACGTACCACCGCCTCGGGGCCCATCAGGATAGCAATCGGATACAAGTCCAGCTTCTCGCTGGACTGATTGACCTCGGTCGAACTCGGCACCTTCGTCAACATATCAGTTGGATTGTCTCCCCGTGGAGTCTTCTCGTGGATAAAGTTGCCTCTCACACACTCTTTTTGCGATAACCGATATTGAGTGTCAAGGTGCTTCATGCGACCACAGCCGTGTCGATGCATGAAAGGCTTGGCAATTGATGCGTCCGTGTAGCAGGACACTGGGAGCTCGCCGACACCGACGAACTCCGCCAACTGTTGGATACCGAGCGCCTCTTTCAGGACCTCGCTGCTGCTCATGATCTCCGATTCTCCTAGCGCGTGCCGAGCACCTCCCCGACTTTGGCAATGGATTCGGCACCCTGCTATCATGATAGTTCCTCCCATCGCGCTCTTCCTGTCCAACTGCACTCCATCCGCTGGATAGAACGTCGCGGAGCTCATGGTGCCCTTGAGATAGAGCGACAGCTTGATCAGCTGTCTCTTGGAATTTGCACTGGGAGTCTTCAGTCGCTGACAGAACCACCGAGCCGTCGCCAGAAGATTTGGACGCTTCTTGGCCAAGAGTATCAATATGCAAACCACCGTTCGATACAAGTTGGGGTCCGCTTCGCTTAGCTCCTAATCGTCACCCTCCATGGTAGCATTGTCGAGCTTCGGCGAAGTTGATGGGCTGCACCTCCCCATTCCCATATCAGGTAGACTCGCGTCGATGTACGTGCTGTAATTAGGCTTGGTTGATCAGTCCCTCCTGTGTCCTGGCACGCCCCGATTATTCGTCTCAGTGCCAGGCCACAGCGCCTCCGTCCACTCAAGGTCCAACTGTCCGTCAATGTAGCCCCTGAGTTGCGACCGATCAGCTTTATATTCGGACCAGTCGTCATGTCATCGTCCACGCGCAGGTCGATCGCGGTGCCAGCACCTCGTTGTGGAAGATGATGGGACACTTGCAGTCCCGAGCAAACTCGAACTTGCAATCATTGGAGTTGGTCACGTCAGAAACATGATTTTGCCAGCGTCGTGCTCCTGATCTCCTGCCGTAGATGGTCCTCCTACATTGCCACATCATCTCCTTCTCGTAATCATTCTGCTACTCAGGTGGTGGCCAAAACATATGAGCTGCTCCCCTGGTGCCTGGGCAAGCGCCGACACTGCATCAAAACCCATATGGGGAGATTCTTGCTTGACCGTGGTAAGGTCCACCACCGACATAGTAGCCTCCGCGCCCGCAGCCGCGAACACCGCGGCATCCTTGGTCGTGGCGAACTCCCTGGCACAGTAGCGCGACGTCTCCTTGAGTGGTGGCTCCACCCAAGTGCCAGTAAGTATGTCCGCAGCTGTAGCACGCGTCCTCCACAGTCCAGTCCTTCACGTAGTCACTGTCAACAAACGTCTTGATCTCCACGAGCCTCGAGGCCTGGATGTAAGGCATATCACTCGTGAGCCCGTCGTTGACCTCCCCAACCTCAGCCTGCATGGCCAATTTCGTCTGCTTGAATCACAATCGCCTCCGTGTGTCCTCGCTCTCGGCTGGCCTCCGCAAACCTTGAGCGTCGGAAGCCAAGTCATCGCCAAGTGTTCCCTCGGCTCCTCCATCCGCTTTCATCGCTGGCGCTGGGGCTTCCTCCGCTGCATCCGCTGTCACCACCTGCGGATGAGCTTCCGCCTCCACCAATTGGTTGCTGGCCCCAGGGGCGTCGATCACGTCCTCGCCGCCAGGCGCCTGCGCCACCATTCGGTGCTGCACCTCCAACGGTGGGATGTGCACGAGCGCCGCCTAGCTGAGGTGGTTTGACCGACGCTGCCCTTCAGCTTCTCGTAGAGCTCCCTGTCGCACTTCGCCTCGTCTGGTAGCCTTATCATCGTCTTGCCCGTCACGATGCCGTGCTGAGTCAGTACGACGTGGGCGTCACTCCTCTCCATGCGTCCAACCCACATACCCTTTATCCACTGCACGTTCAGCTTCTTGCGAACACCCTCAGGCTCGATGAGAATGTTGATCATCACGAGCTCCCCGAACAGCACGATGTTGGATGGATGTGCCGGCCTGTGCCCGCAAGGTTTAATACGTTTGGTACTTGGTAGATGATCCAGGCCGGGCACTTGGCATCGGTAGGTGATCCAAACCGCGTGTCGAACCATCCATGGAGATAACACACCATGTGGAGCAGCATCGTGAGAAAAACGTGGTCGAAAGCCCATTCGAAGCGCACGAAGCTGGCATTGGAGAGATCGATGGAAACGCTCCATTGCTCTAACCTGCTCGCGCTCTGATCTTGTGATGGTCTGGTCCGTCGTCTTGGCTGGCTTACGCTCCTGGGCTATGTAGTCCACCATGTCCATCAAGTCCGTCTCGCTTTCACTCCTCCGAACTACATATGATACGTTGAGACCCTCAAGGAAAATGAGAGTACATCGCAATGCTGTATCGTTTGGTCCCTTCTTGAGTACAACCACTGCACCTCCAGCTCCACTGCCAGCGCTTACCATCGTAAACAGTGCTGCCCTCTTCTGAGACTCGTCACAGAAATCTCCAGCAGCTGCCAGATATAAGTAGTCAACTTGGATCCTTGTGAATAGCTCCTCTGGGTCTTACCGAACAGCAACTGCGATGCAATGCATATCTCGCACCAAGCCGCCGCTGGGCATTGGGTGAGGTTGTGGCTGTCGATGACGTGCTGAGCCGGCATCCTCGGTTCGGTGATCGCGTTCGCAGCCGACGTTTGTCCAGCACCCATGTCCATTCAAGGTCGCACGTCCTCCAGCGAGCGGGGCACTGGTTGAATACACCCAGGCTTTCACCATCAGCGTCACTTCGAGATACCACTGGCAAATTGCTCGCCATCGCCCTCGATCCTCATCCCAGCAAACCAGCACCAGTCGCTGTCCATTAAGCCCACTGCAATTGACCAAGCCCACGATGATAGCCTCGTCGCCGTCGCGATGCACCGCTCCGACCATGAGGAGCTAATCCTCCGCTGGTAATCTCGAGCAAGTGTCCATCGTGAAGTAGTAGAGGGGTGTGTCCGCATTCGGATCGTCCTCGATGAGCTCCGCTCGCTTGCTATCTCTTTCGGCCCAGCATCTGTGACCGTCCTCCGTGACATGAATATCGAAGCTACTTCGAAGCAACTTGCCCATTGAGAACACGTCTTTGTTCACATCGGAGACATCCATCTTTATCCTGCTGGCAAGCTGCTCGCTGTCTTCGGTCGTGTTGAGATCCACGATATTCTCACCCTAACTCTTGATCGCTCCACTTCGAATGTCCCAAGGTTTGGCTTTCTCCGAACCGTCAATGCCGTAGTCGGGAGCGAAGCCCTTCTTGCAGGCGTTGCTCCGGCTGCCTGAAACGAGCACCACGTACTCGACATGGTCTTGCTTGAGTGCCGCACTGCCGAGACCGCTGTCGCCGATCCCGCGCACCCCTAGTTCTTCTGCCTCGTCTTCTCCTCTTGAATCAGCGTGGGACTTTGCTGCCACCAGGTGTCGTCCTCCTACTGGGGCCATCATCGTGGGTCCCCGTGGGCATGGCCATTCCGCCTCGTGGGCCGGCACGCCCGAACCGCAACGCGACCCCGTCGCGGCCGTAAGCCCTGCAGTAGTGCTCACGGCCGTCGCAGATGTTGGAGGAGGAGGAGGAGGAGGAGGAGGAGGAGGAGGAGGAGGAGGAGTAGGAGTTGGAGTTGGAGTTGGAGGAAGGAGGATGGGGAGGAGGAGGAGGAGGAGGAGGAGGAGGAGGAGGAGGAGGAGGAGGAGGAGGAGGAGGAGGAGGGAGGAGGAGGAGGAGGAGGAGGAGGAGGAGGAGGAGGAGGAGGAGGAGGAGGAGGAGGGGGAGGAGGAGGAGGAGGAGGAGGAGGAGGGAGGAGGATGGAGGAGGGTGCCGACGCTCCTGACAGGGATGGCGCTGGCGACCCGGGTGTAGAGGTGAGTTTCCGCCTTGCTGCTGAGACCGTACCATCTGCAACGCTGCCTGGGACAGCCGCGATTGAGAAAGAGCTCAAACGCCCATGCAGTTTGGGCACCGCCACTTCTCGTGGCCCCACTGCCAGCAGCCTCCGCAGTCTCCCCGGAAGGAGCCCATGAGGTTCAGACCGTTGCCGCCCTTGCTGCTACCTTTGAAACCGTTGGAATCCGCGCCGTTCTTGCCGAAACTTTTGTCTTCACCATATGTGCC